TTTTTGGGAGTTTTTGGGGATTTTGGGGGGATTTTTATGGGATTTTTTGGGGATTTTTTAGGAATTTTTTTGGATTTTTTGGGGATTTTTTGGGGATTTTTTTGGGATTTTTGGGGGATTTTTTGGGATTTTTTTGGGATTTTTTAGGATTTTTTTGGGGATTTTTTGGAGATTTTTTGGGGATTTTTTGGGGGTTCTTTTGGGATTTTTTTTGGGATTTTTTAGGATTTTTTGGAGATTTTTTTGGGGAATTTTTGAAAATTTTTGGGGATTTTTTTGGGAATTTTTGGGATTTTTTGGGGGAATTTTGGGGATTTTTTGGGGTTTTTTTGGGATTTTTTTAGGATTTTTTGGGGATTTTTTAAAATTTTTTTTTAATTTTTTTGGGATTTTTTGGGGATTTTGGGGTCAGGAAACGTTGGTTTTGGAGCGTGGGGGAGGGGCCAGGTGTCCCCAGGTGTCCCCAGGTGTGTCCAGGTGTGCTCTAGAGCGGGTTCTAGACCGGGTTCCGGAACGTTCTAGACTCGGTTCTAGAGCAGGTTCCAGAACGTTCTAGAGCGGTTCTAGACTCGGTTCTAGGTACGTTCTAGAACGTTCTAGATCGGGTTCTAGGTGTGTTCTAGATCGGGTTCTAGAGCGGTTCTAGACTGTTCTAGACTCGGTTCTAGACTCGGTTCTAGATTGGGTTCCAGACTGGGTTCCAGGTGTTCCCCAGGTGTCTCCAGGTGTGCCCAGGTGTATCTCAGGTGTGCCCAGGTGTGCCCAGGTGCGCCCAGGTGCGGTCAGCCGTGCCGTTCCCCGCAGGAAGATCCAGGAGGAATCTCTCCGCACTTACCTGTTCACCTACAGCAGCGTCTACGACTCCATCAGGTGGGGACGCGGCCGTTCGGGGCCAGAAACGGGGAATTCGGGAAAAAAAACGAGAATTTTGGGGTGAAAAACGGGGATTTCGGGAAAAACGGGGATTGGGGGGGAAAAATGGGAATTTTGGGGAAAAATGGGAATTTTGGGGAAAAATAACGGGAATTCCGGGGGGAAAAATGGGGAATTTGGGGAAAAAAACGGGGATTTTGGGAAAAAAATGGAAAAAAAAGGGGAATTCCGGGGGGAAAAACGGGGAATTCGGGAAAAACGGGGATTTGGGGGTGAAATGGGGAATTTGGGGTGAAAAACGGGGAATTTGGGGGGAAAAATAACGGGAATTCCGCGGGAAAAAACGGGGATTTCGGGAAAAACGGGGATTGGGGGGGAAAAACGGGGATTTTGGGGAAAAAATGGGGATTTTGGGGAAAAATAACGGGAATTCCGGGGGGGAAAATGGGGAATTTGGGGGAAAAACGGGGAATTCGGGAAAAACGGGGATTCGGGGGGGAAAAACGGGGAATTCCGGGGGGAAAAATGGGGATTTGGGGAAGAAAATGGGAAAAAAAAGGGAATTCTGGGGTGAAAAACGGGAATTTGGGAAAAACGGGGATTTGGGGTGAAAAATGGGGATTTTGGGGTAAAGATGTGGATTTTGGGGTAAAAATGTGGATTTTGGGGTGAAAAAGGTGAATTTTGAGGTAAAAAGCTGAATTTTGGGGTGAAAAAGCTGAATTTTGGGGTGAAAATGTGGATTTTGGGGTAAAAAGGTGAATTTTGGGGTAAAAAATGTGGATTTTGGGGTAAAAATGTGGATTTTGGGGTGAAAATGTGGATTTTGGGTGGGAAATGTGGGAATTTTGGGGTGAAAAAGGTGAATTTTGGGGTGAAAAATGTGGATTTTGGGGTGAAAATGTGGATTTTGGGGTGAAAATGTGAATTTTGGGGTGAAAATGTGAATTTTGGGGTAAAAAGCTGAATTTTGGGGTAAAAATGTGGATTTTGGGTGGGAAATGTGGGAATTTTGGGGTAAAAAATGTGGATTTTGGGGTTGGCAGCATGGAGACGCTGGCGGCCATGTTTGAGCTGGACCTGCCCACGGTGCACGGAATCATCAGCAAAATGATCATCAACGAGGAGCTGATGGTGAGAGCTCACCTGGGGACAGGTGTGGGGTGGGACAGGTGTGGGACAGGTGCACGGAATCATCAGCAAAATGATCATCAACGAGGAGCTGATGGTGAGCTCACCTGGGGACAGGTGTGGGACAGGTGTGACCTCACCTGGGGACAGGTGTGAGTTCACCTGGACAGGTGTGGGACAGGTGTGAGCTCACCTGGACAGGTGTGGGACAGGTGTGACCTCACCTGGGGACAGGTGTGGGGTGGGACAGGTGCACGGGATCATCAGCAAAATGATCATCAACGAGGAGCTGATGGTGAGCTCACCTGGGGACAGGTGTGAGTTCACCTGGGGACAGGTGTGGGACAGGTGTGACCTCAGCTGGACAGGTGTGAGCTCACCTGGACAGGTGTGGGGTGGGACAGGTGTATGGAATCATCAGCAAAATGATCATCAATGAGGAGCTGATGGTGAGCTCACCTGGGGACAGGTGTGACCTCACCTGGGGACAGGTGTGAGCTCACCTGGACAGGTGTGGGACAGGTGTGACCTCACCTGGGGACAGGTGTGACCTCACCTGAACAGGTGTGGGGTGGGACAGGTGTGGGACAGGTGCACGGGATCATCAGCAAAATGATCATCAACGAGGAGCTGATGGTGAGCTCACCTGGGGACAGGTGTGGGACAGGTGTGGGACAGGTGTGAGTTCACCTGGACAGGTGTGACCTCACCTGGACAGGTGTGAGCTCACCTGGACAGGTGTGGGACAGGTGTGGGACAGGTGTGACCTC